CAAAAGTGGATGTGAGGTACAGGCAACAAGGAGGCGGGCAGGATTAAGAGACTTGTTTCTAAGGGTCCCTGTGAAAGCTAAATACTTATAAAGGGCTTTGAGATCTTGGCCTCGTGTGCTGAGTTCAAAGTCTCATCATTAGATAAGGACATAAGTCGTCTTACGGGCTTTTCTTAACTGACAGCCAGGGAAAGATACTTACTCAAAAGGAACAAGTAGGGAGAAATTGGACAATCACCTGTAGGTGATCAAATACTATCATCAACAAGGGGGGATGCCTGTGTGTGCCTGCCTACAAATATGATATCCCAGGGACGCAAATGAAGACATGTACCCAAATGCAATCATAAGGGAACATCAGGCAAACCCAAAATGAGGAATGAGGAACATTCTATTCAACAAAAGATGGTGAGATAAACAAAAGATGGTCATGAAAGACAAAGAGAGGCTGAGGAACTGTTCTAGATTAAAAGGAGACTAAAGAGATGTGACCCAAAAAAAAGTACATGATTCCAGAAAGGATTCTGTACAGGAAAGGGGAAAAAAATACAAGGACAAATATGAAACATGGGTGGTAGATTAAATTATTGAATCAAGGTTGATAACTAAAACCACAGTGTGTAGGAGAATATATTTATTCCTAGGAAATACACACTTAAGTATTTATGGTAAAGGGCATAATATAAACAATTTACTCTCCAATGGTTCCAAATAAAAGAGAAAGCGAGCGAGCAGAGGGCAAATAATAAAGTGAATGAGGTGAAATGCTAACAGCTAACAAAAGGTGATGGGTGATGCTGGTCAAAGGGTATATTAATATTGCCTGTAGAGTTCAACTTTTCTGAAAGTGTGAAATCTACCACCCTGAGCCTTAAGGATGTCCCAAGTGGATCAGCAATAAAGAATCTGCAGGAGACAAGGATTCGATCCCTGGGTCTGGAAGGTCCCCTGGAGGAAGAAATGGCAACCACTCCACTATTCTTGCCTGGAGAATCCCATGGACAGAGCAGCCCAGTGGGTTACAGTCTATGGGGTCACAAAGAGTGGGACATGACTGAGTAACTGAACACACACCCTGACCCTTAAAGAGCAAGAACAATAAACATAGTAGTTTATTTTATTCCTGCACTTGTCTGATGAACTATTCTAGATGCTATATTTGATCCTGTGCCAGAAAGACTAACCTTTTTGTTTTTAATTAGGAGAGAAAGAAACATCTTCAGTTAGTTAATGTTTATTAAGGTTTTCATGTAAACAATATACTGGGCAAGTCTTTGGGACACTTCTGTCATGGAAACCTAAGGTCAGCCAGGCTTTTTCCTTCTGTTCACTTAATGAAAGAAACCATCTGACTGAAGTTATGTAAATGGGACACGCACTTAATCATCACTGGACTTTTTCCATACAGGATGACCAAGTTAGCCTGCAGCTCTATGCAAGGATCCCGTTTCTCATGCAACTTGAAATTAAGGGGCCTGGCATTCTGACAAACCATTAAAGCCAGACAGCAGACATGATGACAGCTTGGATTTTTAATACCCTCCTCATAGCTTTGGATCTGCCCATAGAGAAGGAAACAAGCATGTTATCCCACATTGACCCTAACTTCTTCAGTTCTTGATATCTAGTAGATTCTGGTTTGCAGTTATACAGATGCTCACATTACAGCTGACTCATATTTTAGAATTAAAACCAGATGTCTAAAGGCATAAAGCAATAGCACTAAGTTTAAGCCTCTTACAAAGGAAACATATGATAATCATTCATTATAATAATAGTTTGCCCTAGAAGGAATTAATAAAATTTTTTAAAAAACCTTCTTTAGAATTATTTATTCCCACTTTTGTTCACTGTTAAAACTTCTAAGTCATATTATTTTCCTGAAACTTTGTAAAACACTTTTTTCAAAAACTCTACAGAAATGTTTCTAGAGTGGATCAGTTCAGTTCAGTCACTCAGTCGTGTCCGACTCTTTGCGACCCCATGAATTGTAGCACGCCAGGCCTCCCTGTCCATCACCAACTCCGGAGTTTACTCAAACTCATGTCCATCGAGTCGGTGATGCCATTCAGCCATCTCATCCTCTGTCGTCCCCTTCTCCTCTTGCCCCCAATCCCTCCCAGCATCAGGGTCTTTTCCAATGAGTCAACTCTTCGCATGAGGTGGCCAAAGTATTGGAGTTTCAGCTTCAGCATCAGTCCTTCCAATGAACACCCAGGGCTGAGCTCCTTTAGGATGGACTAGTTGGATCTCCTTGCAGTCCAAGGGACTCTCAAGAGTCTTCTCCAACACCACAGTTCAAAAGCATCAATTTTTCGGCACTCAGCTTTCTTCACAGTCCAACTCTCACATCCATACACGAACTACTGGAAAAACCATAGCCTTGACTAGACGGACCTTTGTTGGCCAAGTAATGTTTCTGCTTTTTAATATGCTATCTAGGTTCAGCTCCTCTTATTCAACCCTAAAAACATACTGTGGAAAAATCTTCCTTTTAGGAAAACCTGGGTTATTTCTATTGTCTGAGGGTATTTTTAAAAACCTAGATAGATACCTGTGGGCTTCCTGTGTATCCACAGGCTCTTTACCCTGGACCTGATACAGCCATCCAAACCAGAAACTTGCTGAGTCACATATAAGCTCAACTGGCATGGTTTTCCCTAACAAACCCTTAAGTCTGAAGAAGATTTTAAAAACAAATGTAAGCTATAAAAGACACACAAACTATCAATTTCTGAGACTTAAGTCCTCCTTAAAAAGATGTGACAATAAAAAACTAAAAAGCAACAAGTAGTCCTGGCAAAAGCTCAGACTAAGAAGCTGACTTAGCTTCTACAGAGGCTGAGCATAAAGATCATCTTGCTGTAAGAATCTACTCTCTTTCTAATCTCTTGTTTACCTAGATATGGTGTTTTATTTGCCTAAATTAGTTTTTCTTCAAAATATTCACAAGTTTCTACAAAAAAAAGCAATCAACCTATCATCATTTAAATTTCTAGCTACAAATCTTTTAAAAATTATGAACACACACACATATATATACAGTTGTATTCTTGAGTATAATAGATCCTAAGACAGAGCTTGCCAAACCCACTGAATAGTCAAAATTTCTTAGGGAGCTTTCTCAAAACACAAATTTCCAAAGCTCTAAACTAGATACATAGAATCAAAATCTGGGATTTTTTTAAAAATCTTTATTGAATTTGTTACAATATTTCTTCTGTTTTATGTTTTGATTTTTTGGCTGCAAGGCATGTGGATCTTAGCTCCCTGACCAGGGATTCAACCTGCGCCCCTGCACTAGAAGGGGCAGTCCACTGGGCCACCAAGTCCCCAAATCAGGAATCTTTATTTTGGGAAAGGTCTTCTGTAATTCTGATCACCAGCCAGTTTGTAAACTGTTGGTTGAGGGCACCCTCTGCCATAGCATCACATTTAACAATAACCTCAGATGGCAAAGGTGGCTTTTTTCAATAGAGAATGATTCAAAATCCAACAGATACAAAAAAGTGGCAAACCTTTCTCATTCATCCCTGCCCCCTAGCCATTCTTTTACTTTTTACAGTCAACCAGTATTTCCAGTTGCTGAACTGTCCTTCCAGGGATCCTTTAAGCACACAAAGGCATATACAGGTACTTCCTTTACAAAAGGACAGCAGCAAACAAGACATTGTTATGTGAACAAACCAAGATTCGGGACAATGTGTATCTTGGAAATCTTTTCCCATCAGTTCAGAACTTCCTTATTCTGTTTCAACATGCATGGTATGTGCAACGATGTGGATGTAACATCTTTGATCAGTCCCCTCTCATCAGACACCAGTGTGATTTCCAGTTTTTTGCTATAATCTTGTACACATGTCATTTCATACAAGTCTACCTATAGGCTAAATCTGTTCCCTGAACTTGGAAACGCTAAGTCAAAGGACACAGGTACTGTAACTCTGAGTGATACTGCCAAACTGCCCTCCCCAGAGGTTATAACAATGCCCACTTGTAACATGAACCAGGAGTTTAGATTTTACACTAAGCTGAACAGTGGCAATGGCTTACTTTCTAGATGCCTCCCTGAAAATATCCTCCTTTCATAGCCTGGTAACATAACATATGACGTTCTCAAGATACCTTCTGCACAATGAAAATCTACCTAAGTTTTCTATTACTAGTAGAGAATTTTCTATATGAAGCCCAAGAAAAAGAGGAGCTGAGTGAAGGAGAAGCTGAGGTTAAGGCAGGTCTTGGTAAGCTGACATGCACTCTCTGTGAAGCCTTTTTCCCTAATTCAGCATAAAAGAAGTTTATGCTTCTTTTAAATTAAACTTGTCACCTAACACATAGACCCATCTCAAAACTCATTACTGGGCACTCCATTGCACTCCAGAGAGAAGAAATCCAGTTCCACGCACCAGAACACCGATGCAAGCTTCTCTAACCAGGAAACCTTGACAAGCCAATCGTCCAACCCCACCCACTGGGTGAAACCTCCATAAATTAAACTTGTCCGCTTACTACACAAAGTATTATTGATGTGAAAAATTAACCAGGTGCTCTTTATTATTTTAATCGACAAAAGCTCTACAAATGTTGGATTTACCCGTTTTTGCACAAGCGAACTTTACTAAATAAAGACAAGGCACCCCACAGGGACCCAGTCTACAGCTAAGGGAAACAAATGTCAGGCAGAGGGCATGCTGAAGGGAGAATGAGCTAGAGAAAGATAACAGGAATCTCTGTTATAATACAAAAAGAACACAGAAGGGAGAAAAAAGGGAACACATTTTTAACTAAAAGAGTTGACAATTTTATTTTCACATTTCACAATACAAATGAAAACTGTTTCTTCTGTCCCACTACTTCCCTCCAAAACTACTCTCTCTGATAGGAAGGGGGAACAAGTTTTCCTTGTCATGCAATTAGAAAACACCCCGAGTCACAGCACCATGATCTCCTGGTGAAGTACAAGTAATATAAAACTGATATAAAGAGGCTCCCCAATCTCCTTATCTGTCTGGTCGGGTCATTCCTGGCCGGGTGGGCACCATCATGGGACGGGCAGGAGGTCTCATCATTGGGGGCCCAGGCATCATTGGCATGTGGCCTCCCATAGGCGGCCTCATTCCAGGAGCTGCAGGCAAAACAAAAAAAGAAAAAAAGAGAGTCAAAAATACTACTTATGAGAGCTTGATGGGACTTCAATTAAAGACAAAAAAGTAGCCCCCCCTGCAAAATGCTGGAAAAAAGACATACTTGACAGAAGAAATGCAACAAATCCATCACATCTGTAAATTACTTAGACATTCTCAAACAAAAAACAAAAAGGTCAACACAAGAACCATATGGGAATCACGATCTAATGATAGTAAGGGGGAAACTATTAATAGATTGCTTTCCAGAAATCACCAGGGACCAGTTCCCTAAATTGACCTTTTTTCTCACTCAGGGAAATTCACAGCTAAGTCAATGTTACTCAGTCAGCTCTTTTAATCACTTCTATCCACCATATAACCAGGAGCTAGTTCATGAATGTACACAGGCACAGAGGACAATCTTACCACTAAGCGTTTGTTCGGAGTTGTAGGAAAGGTGAGCAGGAGGCCCATGCTGAGAACCTGTTAGTAACCATACTTAGCTCAAGTCAAGAAAAATAATAGGCAATAATGTGATTTATAACAATTAGCACACACACACAAATCTGATTTTTCTAATGCATTTCAGAAACTATAAATGAATTTTTTTTAAGTGTCCCATCAATGTAATTAATACCAGCCAAATAAATGAGCCAGGGAAGGGAGGGCAGGCAGACAGGTGAGGGTGGGGAGGAATACAGGCAGCTTCATGGGGCTGGCAATGTTCCACTTTCTCAGCTGGGTGTTGGGTTCACGGTATTAATTATATTATTATGCCTCATAATTTTCATGTTACGTAGCTTCTTTTTAACTATCAGATTTTACCTAATTATTTATTTTCAACTAAATCATTTTGATTAAAGGCTTATAATGGTTCAAGAGAAAACTATATTTAAAGTTGAATATAGCCTTATCACAAAAAGCAAAACACATATATATGCAAAAACACAAAATCCAACAGGTATAGAATTTATTTTAAGATAAATTTCAGCAGAAACAGAAAATATTAAACTTCTAAATATCTTATTAAGACTCCCTCCATAACATAACCTGTATTCAGCATCACCTGTATCAGTTTCTTAAAAGAAACTGATCTAGACCAAAGACTAAAAATGAGGCCCCTGAACACTTGTTTTCTTTGGTCTCCATAGTGCATTAAACCTTAATTAGTTACCAGCAATGGCAACTAATATGTCTTGTAACTAACAAGTATTCCTTTTTACATCTTTTTATTGTGGAAATGTTCAAGCATACACAAGTAGAGTAAAAAGAATATAATGAACATCCATGTACCCATCAACCAGCCTCAACAATTATCCACCCGCAGTCAACTTTATCTTATCCCCACCCATTCTTATCCCTGCCCACTCCCCAACTACTCAATTATTTTTAGTGAAATGCCATACTTTATTATTTTATCCTGGCTAAAAATAAAAACAAAATACTCAGGCAAACTAGCAATACCACGCCTGTATTCTCAAATGTCAAGCACACATTGATACTGAGTTCTAGAAGCTTACTTTACATGAGTCAAAGCATTTCCCAATCACACCCCTAACCCCTCCAGGAATCTGAATTTGTGACCCTAATTTAAGAATGTAAAAGACATCTGAATCACTTAGACTGTGTCCTGGATTTACAAGCCAGTAAGGCACGAATTTTCCTTATTTAAACTTCCCCCCCCTTAAATGACACCCACATCAAGCATACTGATTGCTTCTGACCAGGAAGCTACTATATTGTCTTACCAGTTGGGGTGTAGGCTTCTTATGTCAGTTGTATGTACTCTAATTAAATAATTTATTCTGCAAACCAATGAAATACAAATACAGAAAAAGAACTGTTTCTGTAAAAACTACACTGATTACTAAGAAAGACTCAGGTAAATCATCCACCCAATGTACTCACAAATTTGGTAGGCAAGAAGATCATAAAAAAGAGGAACTAAACTGCCTCACAAGGTCTCTAACCACTTCAAAGAAAAATGAAACTAAAGCTGGTAAAGGATGCATTATGAGTGTGGATTACTGGTTTATGCAAGAAACATATGATGTTCCAGTCAGTAGATTCATTCTCAAAGCAAAGGCCCTGACCACATATCAGAAAACTACAAATCAATGTACATTTATGTTTATGTCAAAATCAAATGCTTGAGGTATAAGTTTTTTTTTTCCCTTCTGAATAAAAAACTACCAGGCCTAAGACTTTTTTCATAATTATTAATTAACCCACTTAACCTGAAAGATTAAAATTAGCAATATGGGGGCAGTTCTGCCCCAAAACAAAACTGAGGAAAGCAGCAGCCTAAGTATGTATCTACCCTTCTCCTCATTATAATCAGCCAAAGTTAGGAGGTGCAAGTAAAAAGAGGGTCAGAGGAGAAGAAAAAAAGAGGCAGTCTTATCTTCCTTTCAGTTGCACAAGGTCTTTGGATACCATCCAATTACACTGATAAACAAAGTACTTCTTTTTACTATCATAGATTCACCAAATGTAATTTGTTGCAGTACACTTAGACAGCTAATTAAGAATTCTATTTAAATCAAAAGCTAGAACACAATGGAGCATCCAAGAAGGAAAGAGACCCAAACTTACCAGGCCCCACTGGCATCATCCCAGGAGGAGGGGGGCCCATCATCGGCATCATGGGAGGGCCCCCCATGTGAGGTGCAGGCATCATCCCAGGGCGAGGAGGACCCGCTGCAATAAAAAATGGGACTCAGACTGAGATATTCTTGTATATTAACAATTTCTCTTTTTAATGAAATAGGGCTTCATGACCTGGCCCAAATTCTGCAATAATTCTGTAACTTTTTATGATTTGTTTTATAATAGTAGATTGACAAAAATCAGCTGGCTACAAAACTTTAATTACATTATGACTAAAAACAAGCCTTGCCAGACAGAAGTGTAAAGTGAAGATAAGTTTCCCAAGTTAAATTCCAACAGTTTTAAATTTTAAACTCTATCCTCTATTAAAAAAAAAACACCAAAAAATTGATGATCTTAAGCGACAAATATCTAATTTCAATTTCAGGTCTTTTTTTTTTAAATCAAAACCTAGGTTTAAAAGAGTCTTTGGAAATATGATAACGTATATGCAGAGATATTCCTGACTCTTTCACAGCAGCAACAATCTGGAACAACTTACATGAGAAACATATGTATGTTTCTTACATATCCAACAATAAGAAAATGGTGAGGTTAATTATGTACATTCATACCACTGCCTATTCTACTATGAAAAATAATGGAGTTGACTGCCAGCCAGTTGGGACAGACTAGGGGAGAGAGATGACCTTAAGCTGCTGTGAGCCTGATCAGGTCCCAGGATGGCAAGATTCCAAGAAGGGACTGGTGGGTCACTAACAGTCTAGCCTACTTCTCTGTGTTTATATCCATGATTACTTACAGGACTGAATTTAGGTCTCTGAGTTCAATTTCAATCTGAACCCTTACAGGAGGGACAAAGAACTTAGGCCTAGTTATTCTATCTCCACCTGTCTGTTCTGCAGAAACAACAAACCTTTCCGAACAGAAGAGTTCTTTGACCCACTCCTAACTATGCAATTTTTGTCTTTCTCAAGGTATATATATTGGTGTTAGATGGGTTACAAATTTGGGAGAGACTGAGGAGTTTATCAGCTGTTTCAGTCCTCCAGTGTTGCATTCATAGCAGTAAATAATTTACTACCTTAGCAATACCTCTCTATACATCAGCTGATAATCACAGGTACATTCGGAGCTATCCATTGTATCTGTCTCAGACCCACTTGAGATCTAGTAATAGTGCAATAAGAATGTAACTCTAAAGATATTTTAGAAATTATACCACTGAAGCTGTCATTTATTTCTGTCTATATATTCACCGATGCAATGGACGTGAACTTGGGAAAACTCCAGGAGATGGTGAGGGACAGGGAAGCCTGGCATGCTGCAGTCCACGGGGTCACAAAGGGTCGGACATGACTGGGTGACTGAACAACAACATTCATCTGATGAGCATCTGAAAGCCTACTGTGAGAGAATCTCACTAAATCAAGGATAATCTTCCCAGTTACACCTAATAAGGTAAAAACTTTACAAACTTACGGAGACTGGGGGGAGGTGGGATCATTGCCCCTGCAGGAGGAGGAGCAGAGAATGGAGTAGGAGGTATCTTTCCTTGTTGAAATGCAGCAGCTTTGGAGAGAGTAAGCAAAAACAACCCATTTAATTACTAAAATAACCACGTTCTTTACAATCTTTAATGGTCCCATTATTTCACTCTAAAAATCTTTCCTCTAGCATTACAACACCATGGTCAAACTCAACTTTAAGTACTCACCAGCTAAAACTGCGATTAACTGGTTTACTGATCTGGGTTTTTTAACCAAGTTTTATTTCATCAGCATTCCTATGGCTAAATAACTATGAGAGACTAATTAACTGTGAGTAAAAACCTCCCACCTATAAATGTTTTACCGATGAGAAGCAGTCATCTCTAATCTGCAGATGCAGTTTATACTCAATTTAAGCTGTTCAGTTTTATTTGAAAAATGTGTGATAAGTGCCCAGAGGCCAGGATTTGTAAAATTTCAGTCCTTCCTATATATGCTTTCCTGCATCAAAACAATACACCATTTTGGTTCATCAGTTTTGAAATTAATGCACTAAGCTACGAGATGTTAAAGAAACAAAGATTTCAAATTCAAAGCCAAGAGCCTGCTCTGAAGGAGATTATGATCTTTAAAAAAATGTCCAATACAATTACCGTTTAATTTTTCTCTCAGATAACATGAGGCCAAATGAAAACAAAAGAAACTGAAGACTGTTTATATTTGTCTTGGGAAAACAGTCATAAATAAACACTAAAATACACATGCATAAAGTCTATTCTTGAATATGCCTTTCTCAAGTCAGTGCAGTCTGCAGCCCAGACACTCCCCCATTCCACTCCACCCTCACTAGTGCAAAGGAGGTCAAATCACTCAAGGAGATCATTGATAATTCACGAAGACCAATGCAAAAAATGACCCAGGGTGAGATTTATGAATAGCTATTCACAAGCCCCCAAAGAGCCTGTTCTAAGGGATCATATCCCCCAATAAAGGCTTTTCCAATCAGGACACTTCCCACATCCCATGCAGGAGAGCCTGCAAAGACTGAAGAGGGAGTGGCAATGCCACTGGCTCAGTAGCGGACTCAACACAACCGTGAACATCAAGTCCATCCCCAAGGGCTCACTTCTTCTCCTCTAAAAGTTTTTCACCAACACCATTTACTCATCCTTACAATTTTTTCCCAGATGAGATAATTTCTGAGATTCATCCCATAATAATCCAGGAGGGGAAAGGAAGTAGATAAAGGTATCTGGTGGCTCTCAACAGGGGCAGTTTTGTCCCTGTTGGGACACCAGGCAGCGCATGGAGATACTGGGAACTGCTACAGGCAGCTACTGGGTATAGGTCAGAGGTGCTGCTGAACAGCCTACAGCGCGTGAACAGCCCCCGACAAAGAACGATCAGGCCCCAAATATCAACAGTGCTACGTGAGACAACTTTGGTATAAACAAGACAATGCTGCAGCTGAATGATACAGGCGTGGCAGTCACAGGAGGTTCTTTCTTTAAAGTTCTCCTTCTACTGAGCTTAAAATTTTTCATGACAGTCTTGCTTACAAAAAAAACACACACCATGATCAAAGTCCACATTTGCCTGCCAGCTGTGGGTACAATGAACAATTAGAAAAGGCCATGTTTCAGATACATTAGGATGATCAAACATAAAAATACAGTATCTCTTTCTGGCAGTGCTTTGTACCTTACCACCCCAAACAATAAAAATGTTCCTAATTAAGCAAAACGAGTATAGCATGTACGGCAAGAGTCCAAAACATACCCAGACTATTCTGTCTTATCAGTTACTTCCTTTGTGACCAGTTACCTTTGTCAGGACAGGAAGAATAAGTCTCTTCAAAGAGAACTACAAACTCACCTCTACCTTTTCACACTGTAATAGGAAAACCAATCTAAAAATTACAAATCACAATAAAGGAGGTTATAAATTTGCTACAAAATCTGGTCCACATCAAGAGAAACATTAGACTACTCATTCTTCTCTACCCAACTTCCTAGTCTAACCAATATCTGATTGCTCTAATGTCAAAAATTAATATTAATGTTTTCCTATATCCCCAAGAAACCAACGACCTTCCACTTCTTTTATTCAGCACATCAGAATGATCCTATTTATCATTCAGAATGAGCTGCTTCTCTGAAAAACAACAGAGACACAGGGACAAGAAAGAATGGGACCATTCTACCCCACCAGAACAGGAGACTGCAACATACTGGTTTTGTCAATCAGGCTCTGAGCCTGCTCTTCCATCCATTTCTGATAGTAGTCTTTCACATTTTCTTTGTGCTTCCTACCACTGCAGTGTGTCTTTCTCACAGATGGCTGTAAAACAAAAAGGTACTTATCAGTCAAAGAAACAAATAATCCGAAACCAGAAATTTTCTGAAGCCTTACCTTTTTGTAGGTAGCCTCACTACCTTTAGCAGCTTTAGCTGGGGTGCCAAAGCATCACTAAAAACATTTTCCAGCGATGTACTGTGGTAATTTACCTACTGCATGTGTTATCTAAACCAGGGCCCAGCTACCTGACTTTGTCTGTGGAGAGTCTACTCTTCTCTCCACAGCAGCAAAGCCGAGTAACTGCAACAGAGACCGTATGGCCCACAAACCTAAAATAATTAAAATCTGGCATGTGAAGAAGAGGTGTGCAATCCACTGATCTAAAACACAATATCATTTTAGTGCCCTTTCTTAGGTTATTCTATGGAAAATCAATATAGCTTACATACATTTAAATAACAGTTTATGGAAATATGGTCTTTTAAAGGACCATAGGTCTAGAATATAGATTCTAGGTGAATCCCTCACAGACCTTTAGCTAATCTAACAGTTTTACTGAGATAAAACTGACATAAGAAACTTCACACACTTAACCTTTTAAGTTAACACTTATTTAACTTTTACTACATGCCAGACACCATGCTACGTACTTTACAAGTAGTGCCTCAATCTCCGTAAGACCATATGTGCACAATACAGTGAAATACCAATCTGAAAGAATGAACTGCTGATATATGCAATACAGACAAACCTCAAAACCATGCTGAGCAAAAGAAATCAAACATGCAGAGTATCTAAGCCTCCATTCAGATAAAGTTTAAAATCAGTAACAATGATCTTTAGTCATAAAAGCCAGATCAGTAAGGGTCGGGGTGCACAGGGACTCACTACAAAAAAGCACAGGAGAACCTTCTGGAGTGATGGAAATGTTCTATGTCTTTATGCATACAGCAAGCTGTAATCATCTGACAAATCATCAAACTGTACACTTAAAATATATGCATTTAACTGAATATATGTAATTCAATAAAATTGATTTTAAAAACCACAAGGTTATCATCTTCTATTTATGCCTAAAGATGTGTCTCAAAACACATGGTAAGTAGCAAACCAAGGCCTGGAATCCAGATCGCACTCAGATGCACCTCATGACTGCCTTCCTCCCTCTTACCTCCCTTCACATGATTGCTTCAGCCGTAGCAGATATGACCACTGTCACATAAGCAGAAATTGTGTGTATCTCAGAAACTGGTGTGTATCTCAAAATATTAATACCATTCCCTGTCTCCCAGTCACTGCTTACACTAATACCACAATGATGCCTTAAGCCTAATAACAAAACCATGCCTAAGAACCAGCAAAAAGTTAAAGCACTGAACCTTCTATACATTTCAAAGTCCACCACAGGGACTGCTTTAGTCACCGTGGAAACTTATTTTCACAAGGTATCGTGTTAGAAAAACAGTATTATAGGGATTCCTGACGTGTCTTATAAAGAGATATTTATTATGAAGAGAGACTTTTCCAGTTTCTGAATTCTAGCATTAGCAAGCAGAGTGAGTATATGACAAAATAGCACTGGAAAAGGGTAGAAAGGCATAGCATCCCACACAAACTTCAGAAAATTACAATGAAGGGTTTGACCTAGAGAGGGGGTTAGGGACACAAAAACAAATCAAAAAAGACAGAGCTCTGTAGGCAAGCTACTACTAATACCAAATGACTGAGAGGGCTCCTCCAATCTGTAATAATATAATATTTACAACCATTATTTCTTTAGTAGGAAGAAATACATATTCCACAAATCTATTAATGCTGAATTACAGCTGACCACATGTTAGAATTCCAAATGAAGTGACAACAGAGAAATCAGTTAACTTCTTGCAGCTACTATTCATGATGACATCATGACTGAATTTTGGTTTAATCAGGTCTCTGATTAAAAAACTTGAGAGGCAGTTCTCAAGGTGTGGCTCACAGACACCATTCAAAGTGCAAGACAGACCAGTGAGTTTTAATGTTAAGAGCACTTGATATGGTTTAGATTCCAAACTGCAACTAACTATGTGTTGAGTTTTGGTGCAGTAATACAAGAATATTAAAGAATATCCACAAATATCTCAAAACAATATTAAAGTACTCCTAGATCCTACATACATGTGAAGTTGGATTCTTCATATACTTCAACCAAAACAAAGTGTGACAGATTTAAAGTAGAAGACAATTAAGTCAGATGTTACAGAAGACTCCAAAAAAGTTAAAATGCCATTCTTCACACTAAATTTTTGTTTTAGAAAATAGCTATTTTTCACTTTTAAAGTGTTACTTCTGCTATCATTACCTTAAATGAATTAATATTTTTAAGTAATCTCAAATACAGAAAATTTTAATGGCGATAAATATTTAACCTACCATCCAGTAATTTCTAAGAGTGTAAAGGGACCGCGAAATGAAAAATTTGAGAGCTGCTGGCATAGAAGCTTTGGTGTTAGACTGCTTGGCTCATCTTCCACCTCTACACAACTTAATGGTTTTGTAACATCCAATTATTTATCCACACTACCTCAGCTTCCCTCTCTGTAAAATGGGAGATAATACTAACTTCATAGGATTATCATGGGCATTAAACAAAATGATACTGTAAAGCATGTGGAACACTGCCTGACACACAATATTCAATCTTAGTTATTATTATCTGTTAATTATTTTTTAATCAAAATACTCTCCTCAAAATGTAGGCATTTCTTTCCAATTTAGTCAGTCAAACATTTGAGAGCCTTGACACAAACAAATATTAGAACCTCAGGACATTTTCCTAGAGGTTTTACTTGTCACAGACTTTTTTCTTCATCTTTAAACTTGCTAAAGCTTTTATTATTGTGGGTCTCCACTGAAAACACTGACTGATGTAAGATTAACTTTGAATTATAAATACAGTTACAGGAAGGGTGGAAAAACAAATACCCCAAGTAGTTTCTTCAAGCAGTAGCCCTTAAACCTCAGCAAGATGAAAAGCAGAAATTACAAAAAAAATTTTAAATCTAATTTATTATATACAAGGCTTTGCTTAGGTTTCCTTTCATTAAAAAAAAAAGTAACAGTTTTATTGAGCTGTAATTCACAGGCCATACAATTTACAAATAAATTTCAAGTTACAAAATAATGGCGATATTTCCCTTGAGTTGTACAATTATCTATTTTATACATAGTAGTTTAAAACTCTTAATCCCTTATCCTATCTTGCCTCTCCCCACTTCTCTCTCCTTACTGGTAACCACTAGTTTTTCTCTGTATCAGTGAGTCTGTTTGTCATATACATCCGTTTTGCTTCATTTTTTTGGTTCCACGTATAAGTGATAAAAAAGAGTATGTTTCTTTGACAACCTTATTTCGCTGAGCATAATACTCTCTAAGTCTATCCACGTTGTTGCAAATGGCAGGCATACGGTTTTTTGAAACTGAAAAGAAACACTACTTACAGAGTCATGGGTGAGGTATGTGTCGCAGTAGTCACAATAAAATCTGGAAAAAGGGGGGGAGGTAAAGAAAAAAAGAGAAGATGACAACCAGTTAACAGATGCCCATCCGAGCTGCTATTCACTGAAGCTGAAATATAAAATAAAGTAAAAGACCTATTCACTATATGAAGACCTCAAACAAAACGTCCTGACACAAGTTAAGCTTTTTGGCTGCCTCTGCGGAGTCGACCTCCGCACTCGAAAAGGAGTAACGAGAAATCCGGGTCGTCCGTCCTTCCCCTGACCCGCTCGCTCCCCCAGAGGCTACCGGAGCCAGAGCCCGCTCTGCGTTCTCCCGCAGAAAGACAATTAGTAACCGTGGCCGCGAACACCGAAGTACAGGCCCCCACTCACTTAGGCATGTTGCTCCACAGGCCGTTGGCAACTGCTTTCCGCGCCGCCTGGAAGTGACGCGCTCAGAGCCGACGCAGCGGAAGTGACGAATAAAACGCGACTTCAGAAATCCAATCCCAGTCATCCAATCCTCCAGCTGCGTTGCGCAGGCGGTAACTTCGTCGTGGGCGGGGAGAGGGGCGGGGCTTGTCCTGCGCGTCCCTTCACCTAGCTGCGGCCGGAAAGTGGGGATACCAAGAGTCGCGGCGAGGCTCAGTCGTCGATCTCGAAGCCGAGATTCTCGATCTTCCCGGAAGTATGTTCATTCTGGTATAAATGCTGAGAAGACAGCAGTGAACTAAACAGGCAAAGATCCTTGCCCTCGTGGAGTTGATATTCGAGTTGGGGAAGACAATAAAGTTAGTAGGTAGTGGGTTAGATGGGGCCAAGTGAAATACAATGAGGGAGGAAACGAAGCATGAAAGAGTCCAGTTTGGAATAAGACAGAGAAAGTTTTCTGACAAAGTGACAGCTGAGAAAGGATAGGTTTCTTAAAGCAAGAAACCCAGGCGCAAGCCGGTTTATATACCGTCTCTTTGTGAGCTCACTAACCCCCGGAGGAGGCAGAATCCCCAGTTTCAAAGCCGGTCGCTGCTTCTTAGCTATGCTGCATATGCTACTTATAATGCAGTAGCATATAAGTGTACTTATTATTACTTTCTGAACCTCAGTTTCCTCATCTGCAAAATATGGATAATAGTTCTTACTTGTGGAGGCAGAATGAATTAGATGTGGAAATGTTTGTACAGAATTCACTACAGTGTGCATACTAAGCCCTCCACAAATGAAAGTTATCTTTACATAGAAGGAAACTATTAGACGTCACTTGTCCAGTGTTACAACTCTTTTAGAAATTGTCTAGCAGGTTTTTCTGGTACACACTGGAAAACAAAAAAAAGTCCCTTTTCCAGGGAATTCCCTGGTGGCCTAGTGGTTAGGATTCTGGGCTTTCACTGCCATGGCCCAGGTTCAATTCCTGGTAGGGGAACTGAGCCAAGCATCTGGCAAAAAAAAAAAAAAAAAAGCTTGTCTATAGGTATAACCTATTCTAGTAACAAGGCCAAACTTTCTGCCTGGTGTATCAGACTCAGAAATGACTTGACCCTTCTTTCAGAAAACAGAAATAGTGTTAGGAACTGGAAGGAGAAGCTCTTGCTGCTTTTGCTCCATATTCATCAATGGTGCAGTTGTAACCAAAATAATTATAATTGTTGCTTTATTTGAAAGTTGGCTATGTCCTAAGTGCTTTTGTTGACTGAAAAAAAAAACACAGCCTTAAAGTTGAGAGTTATGTTTTATTTATTGGACAAAACTGAGAGCTTAAGCCCAGAAGACAGGCTCTGAGGGACTGCTTGAAAGAGGTAAGGGAGAAGCCAGAATATATAGGAGTTTTGCAAAGAAAAATCAAAAGTAATTAAAGAAAACCAGAAATCTCAAGGTAATGAATTTATCACTTTTCTATGTATGGAAAGAGGCAAGAGTCTGGACATACTGAAATTATTCCTCTGATATGCATCTTAACTATCTAGGGCCGGTAGCCTGCCTTCCTCTACTCTGAAAGCACTCAGTGTTCACACTGAGAGTGCCTGCAGTGGCTGCTGGCTTGATGGCACATCTTTTGTTTGTTGATATGGCAAGCAACATTTTTCATTCACAGTTTAAATGCATTACTTAATCTATTCAACAACACTGTTATTCATATTTCAGACGAGGAAACTGAGCTTTAACAAGGTTAAATATACCACAAAAATTATTTTCTGGTCTTTAAAGTTAACTGCTTAGTGAAGTTGTCAGGCTTTCACCACCCCTAGTACAGTGCTTCATTTTACCGTCATTAGTGTGGAACAATCAACTATTATGTGTTTCCTGATCAGAGGCTAACATTAATAGACACCATCAACTATCATATAATTTTACCAAAAATACTTAACCTGGGTCTAATAAAGTATGTAGTAGGATAGGCAAGAGGATCTAAAGAAAAGCAAAAGGCAGTGAACAGATTCAGAAGGTGGTACATTCTGTATAGAACAACTGGCCTTTTTAAGTTAAAAAATAGTGTCTTTCTACATTAAAATATTTTTGAGAGACATAGCAACCAGATGTAGTGTGTGGTCCAGGGTTAGATCTTAGTTTGGACAAACCAGCTATAAAGAACATTTTGGGGAAACTGTCTATGCCTTAATGTTACAGTGCTACTAACCCACCTTCATCCAGACAGCCTGAGTTGATTATTCTTGAAGGGAAAGATTCATGAGTTATGTTTTGATTTTCTTCCTCCTTCCTCTCTGTCCTGATCCTGGGCCAGTTTTACCCTCAAATCCATTCCTCATCGTCCTCAGCTCTTTTCAGCGTGGCAGTGGGGGGCTGACCACATAAGGAAAGGCTACATGTCCTGGACTCCTGGGCTGACTGGGCACCACACTGAGTTGCTGGGCCCCATCAATGGTAGACACTTCTGCAGATGGGATGGATCAAGGAAGAAGCCAGACTATCCCCACCCTCATCCTGTCCCCAAACAAGGATCCATCCCAACCCCAAACCTCAAGCTCTCTCCTCCTATCTCTTTGGCTCCAGCTTTTAGCAGATGATCCCAGCCCCATGGTGACTCCGTGACCTTCTGCCTCTCAGTTTAAGGGTGGCAGTAACTGCTTGCTATTGCTTATCTTTGGGTTACTTCACTGTTTTCTGTTTCCCTTTTTATCCCTGCCAACATCTAGCTAAACCAATTCTCAGTTTTAAATACTTAGAGTTGGGACTTGCCTGGTGTTCCAGCGGTTAAGAATCCACCTTCCAATGCAGATGGCACGGGTTCAATCCCTGGTTGGGGAACTGAGATTCCACATGCAGTGAAGCCTGCGTGCCACACTAGAGAGCTCGGGCGCCACAGCTGCTGAGCCCATGTGCTCCAGAACTCACACACCGAAACCAAGACCTGACACAGCAAACAAGTCATACCCAGAAGATCAGTGCTTAGAGTGACCTCTTTCAGAACTCAGAGGATGACCTTACTGTGGAGTCCTATCCCAAGATCACAGGTCTGAGGCCTGGTACCAAAGCCACAGATATGGGCCCCATCTCCAAGGTCATTTACAGAACTGACTGAACCCCACTGTAACCATTGCCAAAAGCGCCCCGATCCTTAATGGCCAGCTCCTTGACCCCATATTAGGCAAAAATGCCTATCCCAGTACTCACCCTGTGGCACCATAACCTAATGCCACCCTTGCAGTTGGAACTTTCTTTGTCTTAAGACTATAAAAATTGGCTACCAACCCAAGAAAAGCATTGACTCTCCCTTGAGCCGGCCCACTGTTCTTACAGTGTCCCTTCGACTCTCCCTGGTCTGTCAGGGGGTCGGCCCACTGTGCTCAAAGTACCCACGTTATCTCCATTCTTTGCTTTCAATAAGCTCACTCCTTTCTGAGTTGCTCTGTGTCTGGAAATTCTTTTCCACTATCAACCATTAGTTCCAAGGAGTTATCTCCCTCACAGCTTGCCTATGGCCCTATTATCTTATAAAGGGCTGCTTTTCACACTTTTGGAGTTCATTTGTTACCCTCATTCCCCTAGATCTTTGAGGAAAATTCCAAGTGCGTTTGAAATGTGCTTGAACTCTTTGTGTGATATTTTTTAAAAACTCACAATGTTTGCAAACTACTTTATAATACATCCATGGTTTTCCATTTTTCTTAAGTGTATTTCACACTTAAAATGAATTTTACTTCTTTAATTTTGAATAGGTAATAATAGGAAAGTGCAAGTTAGTCTCTCAGTCATGTTCAACTCTTTGCACTTCCATGGACTGTAGCCTGCCACGCTCCTCTGTCCATGGAATTCTCCAAGCGAGAGTACTGGAGTGGGTTTCCATTTCTTTCTCCAAGGGATCTTCCCAACACAGGGATTGAACCTGGGTCTCCTGCATTGCAGGCAAATTCTTTACCGTTTGAGCCACCATATGGTGTGAAATTAGAAAACCACAGAAGAGTATACTCCCCAGGCACACCCCTCTTACCAGTTTCTTGCATGTCTTTCCAGAGATAGACTATGCATATGCAAACATAAAATATGTTTCCTGTTTCTATTTTTAAAATGCACAGAATTTCATTGTGAAGAGAACATGGCAATCCACTCCAGTATTCTTGCCTGGAGAGTCACGTGGACAGGGGAGTCTACTGGGCTGCAGCCCGTGGGGCTGCAAAGAGTTGAACGTGAATGAAGTGACTGAGCACAGACATAGTATTTCATGCGTGAATGTACCTCAATTTATTAAATCCTCTATTGATGAACATTTTATTTTCTTGGACTCCAAAATCACTGTGGACAGTGATTGCAGCCATGAAATTAAAAGACGCCTCCTCCTTAGAAGGAAAGCTATGACAAACCTAGACAGCATATTGAAAAGCAGAGACATCATTTTGCCAACAAAATTCCATATAGTCAAAGCTGTGGTTTCTCCAGTGGTCATGTACAGATGTGACAGCTGGACCTTAAAGAAGGCTGAGCACTTAATAATGGATGCTTTCGAATTACAGTGCAGGAGAAGACTCGAGAGTCCCTTGGACTGCAAGGAGATCAAACCAGTCAATCCTAAAGTAAATCAGCCCTGAATATGCATTGGAAAGACTAATGCTTAAGCTGAAGCTCCAATACTTTGACCACCTGATGTGAAGAGCTGTCTCATTGGAAAAGGCTCTGATGCTGGGAGAGATTATAGGCAATAGGAGAAGGGGGTGGCAGAGGATGAGATGGTTAGATAGCGTCACTGACTCAATGGACATCAACTCCAGGAGATAGTGAAGGACAGAGGAACCTGGCATAGTGCAGTCCATGAGGTCACAAAGGGTCAGATATAACTTTGTGACTGAACAACAACAACAAATTGATGAAAGTAAATTGTTTCCTGTCTTTGGCTATTACAGGATGCTGCCATACATGGTTAAATGCCACATATCCAAGTATATTTGTAGGGTAAATTTCTTGAACTGGAATTACTGGGTTAAGGAGCCTTGCTTTTACAAGTTTGAACTCTAAAGCCCACATGCTCTAGAGCTTGTCCTCTGGTACAGAAGAAGCCACCATGATGAGAAGCCTGCAGACCATAACGAAGGGCGGCCCCCACTCGTCACAACTAGAGAAAGCCCACATGTAGCAACCAAGACCCAGAACAGCCTTAAATAAATGAATAACAGGGCCACTCAAACTGCAGGGAGTGAGGGAGGAAGATTCAAGAGTTGGGGAAATACTTT